CAGAAGGAAGTACTCTTCACAATTAAAGTTACAGTCTCACACCATTTTTTTAGTCCCTCTATATTTCATCTGTCAGATATGCATGGGCAGATGTCATTTAAAGGGCCCTTCTAGTAAGACATGCAAAAGGTTTTTTAAATGGTTTCTTTGTGTATTTTGTTATAAAAATGGTCTCTTTATGGTTGTTTTGCCCCTTTCTGTTTCTTTTGGTAGTTGCTTTATCTCTTTTTAAATCATTTTAAGTCTTGTTGTTTCCTCTTCTTTAACTGCGTGTCTTTGTGGTCGCTTTCTGATTGTTTGAGGTTGTTTTGTTTGTTTTTATTAGTCATTTCATGTTTTTTTGTGGTCATTTTGCGCATCTTCCTGGATGTTACGTGTATCTTTGAGTGACATTTGGCATGTGAGACCCTGGGCTTGGTCCTGGACCTACATTATAGTTCAACCGCCAATTGTGATACATAACACTGAATCATTTAAAACCCAAAAAGCAGAGCAGTTATTTGATGTCATGCGTTTCTCTAATCCAAGCTAACAGCCATGCAGGGGTCACAGAGTCATGAGGTTTCATCACATGGCTCAACCTCTCTCAGGTTACGGAGCCAACACATTGTCATCATGAATAGACATTCAAAAACCCATGCAGACTGCAGCTGCAACCGTGGCTCTATATTGCAGCATCTCAGTGTCTCATCAATGATTTACTGATTCCCAGGACTGAGACCCTTAAAAGTAGCCTTGTAAAAGATAAACATGATCTAACATAATACATTTAACTGTTATTTTACACATTGATGGTCAGCAGAGTATATTTCAGAGGGATCTTAGGGAACTCGTTTCTCGTTCTAAGAAAATAAGTCTAATTTCTTCAAAGTAGAATTAAATCATAGCAAAAATTAATACACTAAATCTATGATAATTAGAGACTTTCGACAACAGACGACTCCCTCTTGAGGGAACACAGGGATTTGAGCCTTTACAGACCATTAACATGCACACACACATTCAGTATAACACACAGGAAAGGGGAAACCTAAAGAAAAACCTATTTGTATTGCACAGGCTAGCCAGTTTCCTCAAGGTTTCCTGGAATGTCATTCCCTAAACGACTTTATACTGTATAATCGGGGTGTGGAGCACTGTTGCATCATCTTGTACTTATCCTATGGGCTGCAGAAGGCATATTTCATTTTCATTTCCTCCTCACCCCTGCTAACAGGAACAGCTAACTTTGTTTGCTTGGTCATACTGACTGGCACCGTTTCTGGCATATCATTTCCTGTTAGGGGATCTGTTATAGGTTATAAATACTGGTATATGATTTGAAAATAATCTTTTATTATAGAAAAACGTTTGTAGTTTGTTTAATATTGAGTGTATGCCTGTTAAACCCGTAAAACAAAAAAAAGGTTCCGGGTTATGTCTTTTTTATTGGTTTTTGTGTTCCTAACTACTGAAGCTATTAACATTTTGGGGCCATAAAAGGAAAATATATTTTATAATAATAATAATAATATTTTGTCTAATTTTTACCATTGCTTTTCATCATAATTGAACCCTTCTTAGCGTATAGGTATTCTGGCGATAAAGGTATTCTGATTCTGACCCTAAAAATTCCTCACTACAAATGTAAAATCTTATAGCCAAATTGGACTCCATAACAAATCAAGTACCTTAGTGGAGATAAAGACACATGTATTTTACAAAATGAAGTTCTACTGTTTGTTCAACACAGCATTTGAGAGTATTAGGTCACCTCACCGAGTCTGTCTCCTAAGGCTGTTATCTATTCAATCAGCCCCTCCACTACGCCTCCTTTCTCCGCTGATACCCTTTGAGGTCTTTGCATGTGGTTGCCATGGGCAACACATCAAGGGTCTAGATAAGAGGGGGACAGACAATAACATCCTGTTAGAAGCACCGTGGTGGGCTAATGATCAAACACTGCCCTGCGTTCATCTCCTGTTTCACAATATGCCAATAATTAGTGCATCTGCTCCACCGCTGCTTGCAAAGCACCTGGATGTTTGAAGGGCCTGTCTGTCCATAATCCTGCTCACATTAAGCTGTGCAGATCATCACAACAGTTTTTTTTAATGGATGAAAAACGGTTGAATAGTATTTGATCCATGCATGCAGTGCTGTGCATTTATGTGAGGATAAACATTAATTGTTAAAAGCTTCACATGTAGGATTTCATCAAATGTGTATTACCGGTAAAACGATGTAAATATGGAAACACGAATGTACCAAAACACATGCGCATACAACACATACGCAGCATTTAAAAAACATTTGCCTACTTGACGAAACATGCACAGTGTTTACTAAAGGCGCTGAATAAACAAAACACTGCAAAAACAATAAGGCTGCAAAAACAACAAGGCTGCAAAAACAATAACGCTTAAAAAAACTCCAAACACAACGGAAACAGGGACACTTATGCACACAGCTGGGATCGGAGCGCTTGTTGATGTTTGTTGATGTTTGGGGATTATTTCAATACTAAAGTTTGGTCAGTATATTTGAAGTGACAAGCTTACAGCAGATCTGCAATAATGTTGGAAGAAATCATGTGATCACATTGTTAAAATAAGACAATAAAAGGTCATTTTCCAGTGCATCGTTTTTGAAACTGCAGAGCGTTTCTCCTAATAAAAGTGTTTTTGGCCGTTGTAACGCATTTGTCGCTGTCTGAAGGTTGTATCTTCCTGGTCGAATGTACTTATTGTAAGTCGCTTTGGATAAAAGCATCAGTTACATTATTACATGAATGTAATAATGTCTGACTGAAACAAGTACATTGGACTCCTTTGTTTACTTCTGTAACATAATGACATAACTATCTAACACCCATGCTTCTAGTGGCCAGAGCTCCAACAAATTGTATGTGATAGGCTAAGGGGCGGGACATCTCTAAGCGGTTGACCAAGGCAAGGCAAGTTTACATAGCACCTTTCAACAAGGCAACATTTCAACAAGGCAATTCAAAGTGCTTTACAACAATGAAAGACATTAAGAATATGGCATTTAAACCAGTCATTAAAAAGCAAGGATAATAAAATAAACATTAAAAGAAAAAATACACGGATAAAAGTTACAGTGCAGTTTAAGATATGAATAGTTCAATTAAACCAATCACAACAGAGACGGTCAGCTAACCAATCAGAGCAGACTGGGCTCTGGTTTCAGACAGAGTGTGAAAAGAGGTGCTGCAGCACAGGCAGTATGAGAAGAATAAAGAGCTTTTTGAACATTAAAGGTCTCCTATCTTGCAAAATGCACTTTTTGATGTTTTTTATACATAAATATGTGTCCCCGGTGTGTCAGGAAACATGTAAACATATCAAAATAGAGGCACAAAATACAAGTATCAACCTGAAAATGAGCATAATAGGGCCCCTTTAATGTTTCGTTAAGCTTCAATCTTAGCCTTTACCTAAGAATATCCTCCCGGAATATTCCCACTTTAACTAATTGGCACTGACAGAAAAAATGTAAGGTCATTGAGCTGTGGTTCGTTGTTTTGGTAGATTTTACTGGGGAATTATAGCTGTTGTCTCTAATGATGGCAGTGTGAGGGGACTCGATGGGATCGTCTCAGTGGGAGCTTGATTTGATGCCAGGTCCAGACTTGTCTTGAGGAGGCAGGGACACAGTGAGACAGCAGGAGGAGTCCCTGCCCCTCACAGCAGGACATGACAGCAGCACAACACACATGCAGAAAACACAAACACACGTATATATTATTTTATCATTTAATCTTTAAGGTACTGACGCTTTAATGCAAATGGTTAATTTAGAAAAATGTGCTGAAAGGGGAAAAACCATACAAATATATATTTATATATAAAGTATTGTGAAAAGAACCAGAATGAAAGGATGATGCATTTCAACATCTCTGCAGTTTCATATCGAAGTGAAGACAGCTAACAGATTAAACTCAACCCAAGTTTCACACTGTTCTTTTTTTCAAATGATGTATCATCTACTTAAGTGTATCATATTTGATACATGTATTTCTGAGACCTCTACATTTTCCAAATGACTGGTACTTTCCTGAAAACCCTGTTGTATGCAATGTGATACATGTCTTTGGCCCTCTGGTGGATTACCCAGGCTCAGCACGCATAGTGTTTTTAAAAGCCAAATCCATTTTTGCTAATATTGAAAAAGTTACGGTGACAATAACTTTCATATTGTTGCTGATATTTCAATATAAATATTTCCTGAATTTAAGCAAGTTCTGATCAGTTTATATTTGTAGCTTATTTCATAGAAAAATGGTGTTGGAAATGTGTGTATCAAATATGATACAGCAGGTATTTGAGTCAATTATTCTGTATAAAGTATAAGTGTCTTGTACTGTATTTCATGATGCAGTCTGCATTATGCTCAGCACAATGTTAAAAATACTGTTTTAAATAATTTAATCAAACTAATTAAAGATTAAAATGTCATAGTTCAAATGTATTAAAAGTAGAAATTTAGATATGTATGTGTTTTTTTGTTGTCAAGCTAATTACTCCAATGTTGAAATAATAATTCGTAACACTTATTGATTCTTCAAAAAATGCATTGGCTAGTTCAGAGAGTTCAACATAATTTGTGTTTGTATGTATACAATATAACAACATGCCACCATACCAAAAGGCCAAATAGAGAGCATGCAAAAGGGCTCCAGTTTAACAAATCTGAACAAAATCAGTTGAAATGTTCAAAATCTTACAAATGTAATGTTCAATATTTGTTTTTTAAATGCAGGCCTATGTAAATAATTACCAAATATATATATATTTGTTTTTGTTAAAAGGTGCAATACACACTTTAATAACAATGTTCTGACTATTATTTGATGTGTTAGGCTTTACACGGTTAAAATAAATGATGATGCATCCGAACAACAAAACCGTCATTTTAATATTTTTATTTATTACATTTTTTCCTGTGAATGGCTGTATTTCTGGCTCTGTGCCTTTAAGAATTCTCCCGCGCTGGTTTCAGAACGCGGAAATAGACCGGAACTGGTAGCAATATTTCGCGCCAAATTGAAACAACGGAACAGTCTGCTCTGAGTCACGAGGGGCGAGCTGGAGACAACAACTGCTATTGACATTTTGCCCGTTATAACAAAGACAAGGTATGCTGTTTAGTTTAATGTGTATGTTTCACACAAGAAATTCTCCTTACAACAGATATACGGGACCAACTAGTGTTTGAGTTCGTCTTTTGTGTTGTGAACTCTTCATTTCAAAAAAGTGTTTTTGTTTGCCCAGTTTAGTTAACATGGAGGAGGCCAAGAAGCTAATCGGCACGGGCAAGAAGCACCTGGTGATGGGGAAGGTGGTGGAGGCGGTGGGCGCCCTGCAGGAGGCCTGCGGCCTGCTGTGAGTTAACCAACTAACAAAAGGGACTATTAAAGCTTCAAACACAATATTATATTTAATTCTGACCGCTACAGAAAATGGGTTTAAACAAACTAGTCAGAAGTGCTGCTTCGCCTCTGCTTGCATTAATATGTATATGATCCTTATAAGATGTAAAAACATCAAACATTTTTTAAATAATTTAAATAATTAAATATTTGCAGATACATATTATTAGTATGTATTTATGTTGAATGGTTATTTATAGACATTATAAAGAAACAAGCTTTTTTACTATGTAGATCAAATTCAACGTATTGTTTTTATTTCAGAGCCAAAAAATATGGAGACACAGCAGATGAGTGTGGAGAGGCTTTTTTCTGGTGTGGTCGAGCCCTGCTGGATTTGGCACGGTAAACCCCCCCCCCGTCCATCAATCTTAACTTTAATTAAATGTCGGAATAAGATCAGAGACCTAACGGACCGTATTGTTGTAGGATGGAGAACTCTGTCCTTGGTAATGCCCTGGAAGGAGTACCAGAGGAGGATGAGGATGAAGGCGAGAAACCCAAGGACTCCAACGTTGACAGCACAGAAAACATGGATGGTAAGAAAAAACAAAACTAGTCATTTCCATCTTTCCATTGGGGTTTGTTTAATTGTTTAAGCTGCTCTACTACTGTCATCCTAACTGTCCTCTCAAACTTCAACAGAGAAGACCAGAGATGAGCTGAGGGCTCAGGTTTATGATGCCATGGCGGAGAAGACAAATGAAGACTCCGAGAAGAAAAATGAAGACTCCGAGAAGGAAACTGAAGACTCCGAGAAGACAAATGAAGACTCCGAAAAGGAAACTGAAGACTCCGAAAAGGAAACTGAAGACTCAGAGAACGACAGTGAAGAGAAGAAGGGAGACGTAGAAAAGGGTGATAAGCATAAGGACGCTGCAGAGAATGTCGAAGTTAAAGAAAGCAAATTTGATAAAAGTGAAGAAAAGATGGAGACCGAGAAAGAATCTGGAGATGAGGAGGAGGACGCGCAAGGTGAATTTACAGACCTTTTTAAAATAAAATAAAATAACTACTTTCTAACACTTGTAATGAAGACCACTAACGACGTTATTGACCTTTTCAGATGAAGAAGAGGAGGGTGAAGAGGCAGAAATGGAGGGTGACACAGAAGGAGGTGAAGGAGACGCTGCTGCAGAGAAGGTACTTTACCAAAGCTCACAATTACGCACGAAAAAGAAGTGTAGGATGTTAGAGATGACATATTAAGCTCATTATCAGGTTCATGTTTGTATGTAGTGTCTCTCCTGGGACGTGTCTCCGTGCTTTCATGTTCAGAAAGCTCTTTATTCTTCTCATACTGCAGCACCTCTTTTCACCCTCTGTCTGAAACCAGAGCCCAGTGCTCTGATTGGTTAGCTGGCCGGCTCGGTTGTGAATGTTCTAGAGAAACCCCGCCCATTATCACAAACGATGCGTCGGAGCGCTAGCCAATAGAAGCGCAACTGTTGTGTAGCGATGTCCCTATTTCACGGAACTTAGGGTTTTAGCTTTTGCCGACCATTTACATGCACATAAACCTATTTGATGGTGACTACATTTAAAGGGAAAACCCCAAAAGCATAATCGGGCCTCTTTAATGTGTGTTTCAGGACAGTGATGATGATGATGATGAGGTGGTGGGGAACCTGCAGCTCTCCTGGGAGATGTTGGAGGTGGCGAAAGTCATCTACAAAAGGTAAAGGAAACACCGGCTGTATTGAGTGATGGCTGAGGATACGGCTTCTGTGTTTACTGATTTTCTTTCATTTTCTTTAACACAAGGAAAGAGTCGAAAGAGGACCAACTCATGGCAGCCCAGACTTACCTGAAACTGGGCGAAGTTTCGTCTGAATCAGGTAGTTACACGTTTTCAAACAGACAAATGCCCAACTCCTTTCATAATTGATTTAACGTTTGTCACTTTTCATGCAAAATGGCACACATTTTCTTTTTCGTTACCATCTCAATATGGAGATACAATGCTTTTCTGTTTTAATATCATTATGAAATAGATTTTGGAGTTACACAAGACATGTGCGGACGTCACCATGGATGTTGCGTAACTGATTTATCAAATGTCCGAAAAGAGTGCAGGAAATGTCTCTTCTTGTCCATACCATGGTTAATGTTAAACAATAATAACCGGTGGTAGCAACCCTTGCAGCTTTTGTTACATTTTAAATCTTGTCTACTCAAACTCTTGTTTTGTGTCCGTTTGCTGCTGTTGAAGGAAGCATTTTCACTCCATCGCTCCATACTTAGGTATTGGCTAAAAATTGAAATCCTCAGTTTGGGCCCTGAATTCTTAAAACTCTCCAATGAGTTTTAACAACACGGACATGTCTGAAAGATTGAACCCCTTTCCCAGCCGACACTGTCCTCATGTCCTTGCTGAGAGATGCTGCCTCTCTTCTAGGGAACTACACGCAGGCGATGGAGGACTTCCAGGAGTGTCTGAAGCTGCAGGTGAAGCACCTGGACCCAGACAGCCGCCTGCTGGCAGAGACGCACTACCAGCTGGGGCTCACCTACGCCCTAAACCTGCAGTACAGCCAGGCCATCGAGGAGCTCAACAGCTCCAGCTCCATCATCAAGAGCAGGCTGGGTAAGCGCAGATGGCGGCAAAACATGATGATGAATGATCGAGGGTGTCTTAATTAAAACATCTCAGCTTGGTTTCATCCTCAATAACCTCCAAAATTCTCTTACTCGGCCAAACCATCTTTTAACTGTATGCATATGTAACTTATGCTAATTGTGCAAATTGCCCAACATATGCAAGTTGGCATCCGGAAGTTTCTATGTTCTTAGGACCCGTACACTTCTATCATAAACCTTGTAGCTACTTAACATTTCCTGGTGGACAACAGGACTCTATGAGCTGTCAAACAGACTGTTGCATCTTAAGCGTTGACAAGGCAGAAGTCACGGAGCAGCTGGGCTCAGCCTCTGTTAGTCTTCTTGTAGCCGCTATCATATTGTGCGCACTATCTGTTCCTACTGTGGTGACACTGTCCCTTAACTCCCCCATTTCCAATTTTTTTTGTTATGGCGAGCCTTAATGTTAATACTTAAATTCCATCTGACCCCGACAGACAAACTGAAGCAGCTGCTGGAAAAGGCCGAGGGTCCGGAAGCTCTGCCGGAGGAGAGGAAGGAGATGGAGGAGCTGAAGGCCCTGCTGCCAGAGATCCAGGAGAAGGTGGAGGATGCCACCGAGGGTCTGAAAACAACCCGCGCTGCTGCTGCTGAAGGAGCAAGGGGGGTGCTGGTGAGCTATGGTTGGGGTTTGAGACACTTCAAATCTTATGAGTAGATGAGTGGAGGTATTATATTTATGTATTATGTCGAAGAACAAAACTTAGAAAAACCTCATCATATGAAGAGACATTTGGGGTTTTCTCTCCACATAATGTCTGCTTCTACTGGATACACTCTTGACCTGTTTTGAGACTTATCGCAGGTGTAAATGAACACGGCTTGTTTCTAACTACATGTTGTGTTCCTGTCAGGACGGAGGCTCCACTTCCTCGGCCTTCCCCGGCTCCACTGCGCTCCCCGGGGACTCCTCAAGCAGCTCAAAGGTAAATCACATAGTGGAGTATCTGAAGGAGTAATAAGGAAATGATTACACAGGAATTGTACGGTTGGATTATTTGTTTTACTATTTGCAGAGTTATTGACTTTTTTTGTCCTCCACCCAGATTAAGATCACGTCTACCAACGGACACGCCTCCAAATCTCCAGCCTCGGACATCTCCCACCTGGTCAGAAAGAAGGTGAGGGAGCTACACGTTTTAAAGGGATAGTTTGGAGTGGCTTTGTATGAGGTATTTATCCTCCTCATAATCTGTGTCTTACCTTCAGTAGGTCAGCACGCCTCCTCTTTTGGAGTCTTACTGGTGTATGGGTGCAAAACATGAGGGCACGGGGCAGCAGTGAAAGCTATTTTAGCCTCCTTAGCGTGTCGTCAAATCTGGTCCTTTAAGCCCTCAAAATAAAGAGAGATAGGCTGCATCATAACTCAGTGGTCAGAGTTGGCCAACCATATATTGGGGCTCAGTTCTCAGGTCCTTTTTTTATATGTGTTGCATTACTTGTATCCCACCCTTTCAAATCTAGCTATAAGGGCTAAACTGGCCCAAAATAATCTTTAAATACAAAGACGTGTGATTAGGCAGCAATTTTAGTTTGAACACTCAAAAGAACTCGGACTCCATAGAAACAAACTTAAGATGCAGGGGCGGATCTACGGGGGGGCAAGGGGGGGGGGGGGGAACTTCCCCCCACTGTAGAACCTTGTCCCCCACTGTAGAACCTTGTCCCCCCAGCTGCCCCCCTAACTTTTGTGTCCCTAAAATGTACTTGTAGAACCAAACCTACATTATGTCCACAAGCTTCTCAAGCAACAAAACAAGCAGTTCATTAATTAAAAGTGAGTCATTTTAAATATCATTTTAGGCCCGTTAAAAACGTAGCTACTGCCCTGCAATAAACTGTGGAGCGACGTTCACACAGACCGCGGCTCGCACCGCTGCAGAGAGACCGAGCTGTCCCAGCACCTGAAGGTGGATCAGCTTCCCCTGGGAGCATTTCCCCTTCGACTGGTTTTGTTTTTAATAAGGACGAGAGCTTGAAAAAATATTAATAAAGCTCTGCCGTTTGAATCGATAGCGTTTAACAGAAGGTCGCTGTTTGGGGCGTTACGTTACAAAATACTACGCAGACAGCGCTAGCTGGGAGATCGATCACTTTATTTGCTAAACTATGCGGTACTATTAAATCCACGTAAATTACACATCACAGCAATGAGGCTGATAAATGAAATCAGGATACATCCTTTACCGTCAAACTGGTTTTAAACGCAGCTGCCTGTGTGCGCTTGATCAATACTTTCTGATTTTATATTTATTATAGGCTATGCTACTTATTGGCTACAGGGCCCTAACGTGTAAAGTTAGACAAGCATTTGTACCAGTGCTTTTCACACGTAGACTCTTGCAGGACAGAGTAGCGGGAGTGAGTCAACAACAACAAAAAGACATAGACCTATCTGAGAAGTGATCAGGACGAAGAGGAAAAGACAGTAGGCTACACTGAAGAGACCAGGAGGGTCAGAGCAGGAGAAAGCCAGGAGGAGATGAAGAGACCAGCAGGAAGAGGAGGAGATGAAGACATTAGTGAAGAAGAAGAAATGTATGTGAGGAATAAAGATGAAGTGTCAGAAAGAGAGCCAGAGGCAGGGATCAGGAGGCAGAGGAGACTCCAGCTGGACCACATGGTATGTTCTTATTCTCCTTGCATTCCATTACAGCAGCACAATCTAGCAGCTCTTAGTATTGACACATATTGAAATGTGTTGCTGCACAGGTCACCTTTAGCTCTCTGAAGAGATGGGTGATGTCATTTGTGTACTTAATTATAACCAAGTACTTTTACTGTACTTACAGTAAACAGAATTCTAGAGTATCATGAGTATTTTCTGCTGTTTTATACTATATTTGAGTTTGTTTGTCTGAACACCTTGTGTGATGATTTAACAATAAAAAGGTTATATATATATACAGTATAAAATACCACGTACTGTCCGCCCTCCCATGCCATCCTGGCATGACCTCTTGCCCCCCATGTAAAATGTTCTAGAACCGCCACTGTTAAGATGCCTTCACATGGCCAGCGGTGAAACGGCTCTGTGCTGACGGTCCTGTTTCCATGCTCTTGGCGCCACTCGAAATTGACCAAAGCGCTGCACTCAAAGTTAAAATGATATCAACATAGATTACCTTTCAACCAATCAGATGACTGCTGTATTCAGTGGAGCAAGCTAGCAGGGAAGGTAACCATGGGAACAACATTTAACTGGCTGTTTTCACTGCAAGACTCTGCGCCAGAGCGAATGGCGTATCATGTGAATGCAGCTTAAGTCCACGTGTCAGTTCACTCACTTGTGTGTTATGACAACAAAGCATGCTGCGTATCCTTTGCCATCTGATTGAAGCCCTCGGCCTGCACTAGAATGATCACAAGCACACTGTGCTTTTCTGTATGGAAGCCTTTTAAAGATCAGCTCAGCAAAGTTCTGAGCTCCAGAGGAAGTAGTTTGAGCAGAAAGGAAAAGTTTAACTAACTGGGTTTTTCCCAAGGTGTTTGGTGGCCAAGACTTCGATTTCCTGCCATAAATGGCTGTCTGAAATAAAGTCAAAGCCGTTAAGATGATGTCAAATGTAGCGTACACTTAAACAGATTTAGTTTTTTTATTAGCCTTTCCTTTGGGTGGCTAAAATTTATTGTCTCCATCTGAACAAAGCTGTCTGTTTCAGAGGAAACCAGAGGAGAGTCCAGTGAAGGAGGAGGGCGTGACGAAGAAGCTGAAGCAGAACGACGGTCAGGCCAACGGACACTAACGGACATGTTGACCTCAAGACGTAAGAGTTATCATCACGGCAACAACCTGGTCACGAAGCCGTGTTGTCAGAACAAGTGATTCAGTGCACAGGATTGTTTTTGAGTCTAACCTACGCTCTATGTATCTGGACTTTAGAAGGATTCCCCCAGCAGGCCGAGCTCTTCCGTCCCGACGCCCGTTTGCTGCTGTAAATATTGTTTGTCTGTGATCTTTGTGTTTGTTCATGTACGTAACCTATTGAGAGAAATAAATATCATTTGATAAATCTTGGAACTCTTTTTTTCCTTGAAAGAGTTGCTCAGTGGGTTTATTTGTTTACTCAGATAAAAGTAGTTCAACCTGTCATTAGCAGAAGGAACCCAAACTATTTACCCGTTACATTTTTAAAAGGAAACAAATAAATGTGCAAACTATTGGTTGCGATCAGTCGTGGGAGAAGAACTAAGATCCTTAAGTAAAAGTACAAATATATTTGTCTTGTATTACAAGTGAGATCCCCATTTCAAAATGGACTTTTACTAAAGTCAATATTGGCATCAAAAAGTATTGGTTCTGCACAATTAAGTATGAGCTAAATGTACTTCAAGTATCAAGGGTACAAGTACTATTGCAGGCTCTTTACAGTATTATATTGGCCTGCATGAGTATTGTAGTTTGTCAATGTAGAGTCAAAAGTACTTATGTCGCTAAAATGTAGAAGTATAAAGTACAATATTTGAGTAAATGTACATAGTTACTGTGGAGCTTCACATATCAGCATAAATATGAATGCTGCTGTTTGATTTAAACCCAGATAAAGTATATTTATGGCAACCACAATGCTGAGAATGCAAAAGGAGAGAGACCAGGTGAAGGGGGAGGGATCCCTTGCAGACCATTTACATGCACTAAAACCTATAGAACGACAGAAGAGGGAAAACCCATAGTATGCATGTTAGTCTGACCATGTTGTGAAATAATTGACAGAATATGGTTAAAGTATTATCTGATCAATGTATTCATATTACATTATATAGGGGCAATAGCCTGGAAAAAATGTTCTGTGTTTTTACCCCCGGTGGTGAAAATAATTAAAGGTGGGGTATGTAATTTATTTCAGAAACAGTTATATTCCATGGAATGCTCTTAACATCACGATAGCAATGAATATCTGAAGTGCTTTGACAATAAATACAAAAAACATCATCTGTGGAAGCCATAGTTCTGTAAAAAGCACGACCAATCATCTGAGCCGGCCCGGCTAAAGTAACTGGATGACCTACCTGCCTGTCAGCCTTCCATCTGAGCATAAACTTATCTCGTGCCCTCATTGGTCATGTGCGCGTTCGTGTGTGTTGGAGGAGGGGCTCTGTGAGGAAATGGCAGATTTTTTCCAGTTGTGTATTTTCAAATTCTAGCGCACTCGAGCCGGTTTCTCAAATGACCTACCCCACCTTTAAGTCATATTCCATAATGTGTTTGAACACTGCTTTTGTGAAAATAACCTATTCCTTACTGGAATCCTGTTTGAATATGAAACGAATCCAAACAATGGCTGGAAATCATCTTGATTAGTTTGTCATTTTTTTACAAACCCATTTCTTGCTTGTACAGAATTATGTTTGATCACCCATCCGAAGCTACCGTCCTTTTTGTAGCAACTAAAAGAATAGGCATCAGTCAACACAAATAAAATACTATAGCGAGAAACTACCGCCTTATTGGTTGTTGAAAATCCATGATCTGACTGAAGTGAATAATGTGCCTGCAGGCAGTGTGTGACAGATCGACACAAAGCGACTCAAACAGCACAGTAGGCAGATTCATATTGAAACATATCAGCTTGTCAGGAACCAATTTTTATTAATGTCATTAATAATGTGTCATCAGCATCATCAATGAAATGAGTTAGTCTGTTTAAAGCAGAATCAAGTGTGCATTCATTGCCCTTCTTTTCTTGATGAACACGTCAGTTCCACAAAGCGAGGAAGAAAAAAGGAAGAAGGGGTAAAGGTGGGGGACATAGTGGGGGGGGGACTGCAGTGAAGGAGGAAACGCAGGGAAAACAACGTCTGGCGGAGCAGGAATCTCCCCCTTCACTGGGATATGATTGGTTTTTCCCTTGTGCAACAATGACAACAAAAAGAAAATCAAAAAAACGGAAGAAAGTCAAAATGGTGCTCTAAAAACAAAGATGAGAGGAAGAGGGGGGATTGCTTGCTGGGATGTTGTTGTGTTGTTGTTGGTTGTTTTTGTTCCGTAAAGCCACGTTAGGATTTGATGCAGTCGTCGTCGTCAGAGGTCTGGCTGCTGCTACTGGTTTCGGACTCGGAGCCCTCCTCGACGTTCTCCTCCGCCACACTCCTCCAGGGGGTGAAGTGGAGGGTGACCCCCCGCGCCCTGGGGAGAGCCCCGTTCCTCTGCAGGCCGTTCCTCTTCAGCTGCTCGGAGGACACACACATTCAGACTCAATTGCAATCCAAAACCTGACACACTCCCTTACCCACTCTTACTCAGCCACATTAAGTGCCGCTCCAAATAATGGAGGACATAATATTCTCATTTTCAGGTTCATATTTGTATTCTGTGCCTCTACTGTGACATGTCTCCATGCTTTAATGTTCAAAAAGCTCTTTATTTTGCACACACTGCCTGTGCTGCAGCACCTCTTTCAAAAACCTATATAACACACTACAGGAGAGGGAAAATCACTAAAAGAATAATAGGGCCTCTTTAAAACCTTCCAACAGGGAGTCTGCATCAGTCCTGACTGAACCAGCTACCCTACCCAAGCCCCTAGGAAGTGTCGGGGCATTGAAGCACATTTTAGGCCAATCGGTCGTACTACAACTTCTGTGGCGGCATTTGTCCCAAAAAGAGTTCTTCCCATTGTCTTACATTGGAGTATTAAGAGTATTCTTTTATTTTAAGGTAAATGAACTACCCAGTTGGAACATTTGCTGAAAGCCAAATCTAGAGCCGAGAGAGGCTGTGATGCTGCCGTGTTGGAGCGGATTGGAGGCGGGGCTTGAGTAACAGTCAAGTGCGCATGCTCTATGCTGAAGATCACAGGAAGAATGAGGGAAGAGCGGGTATTTCTGTCCTCGAGAGTCAGTGCCCTATGCAACACACGGTGTACGAATGTCAGTGCAAATATTTACTATTAAACTGCACAAATTGACCTTTTTACACAGATGTAAACAAATTCACAGGTTACGATAAATTATACAAAATGTTTACATCACATATAAGTGTCTAATGTGTCCAATCTAGAACATGGTTAACTGCATATGATTGTAAAGTTTTGTGTCTGAAAAGCCAAGCGGTCCGTCATGGAGGGAGAGTGTGACGTGGCTGGCTGGAATTGGGCCTCTGGGTTGAAGTAGTGCAGTAGATCTTAAAGAACCTTGGGGTGCTCACCTGCTCAGTTTTAGTCTGGAACTCTCGCAGCTCGTCCTCCGTCAGAGGCTGGAAGTTGTCATCATTTTCTGGGTACTCCTGCCAGCCCATGGCCTTTAGCAACCTACAAATACAAATACAGCTTTTGCTCAATTGATGGTTGCTTTGAAGTGATGACGTTTTTTATATACATTTTGACTTTTCAAATCATTTCATTTCGAGTTTCTCAGAAAGTTGTATTTGTATATATGAAGTGTTAGTTTGTTAGGTGTATAATCTTAGAAATATGTAGCTACATATAAATGTTGAACAGACGGTTGGAGAACGGTGGCCATAATGTTTAAATATTTAGATTTTGGAATCAACTTGAGTTTTCTTTCACGAGTTGGTGAAGATACATTAGATACAGCCGAAAGGTCAAATGACATCAGATCGGCAACAATCACTAAATCATGTTCTTGTTATTAATTCTAGAGATGAGACTGCATGTGAAACAGGCGAAACACATAGCAAACACATAGCGCCCTCTCCTTTCTTAAAGAATATCGTTTTTGTTAGAATATTTTTCACTGCTATTCCATGTTTTATTTCACCATAATAGCCCATCTTAATGCGAGTGAGTGTCAGGCGGTCGTACCTGTGCTCTGCCTCCAGGGAGCTGGACAGGTGTTCGGTGTCCGAGTCGCTGAGCGAGTAGGACAGACCGTTCTCGTGGCACACCTCCTCGCGGTAGACTTTGGGCTCTGGGGTGCTGCTCTCACCCTGAGAACATTCACACAGCACCACAACACTATTCAATAAATAGCAACCCATTGGAGTGGAGCACACAACAGGACTTTGGAATTCTTGTGGATTATCATTTCGGCAATATTTAGCACTTTTCCAGAAAAAAGACAACTAAATATCACGCAACAACGGTCTTTGTGCAGACAGAAAAAATGTCTCTTTTGGGACATTACATACGAAAATTGAATTATATTTGTGAAGAATAATGGGGTTTCAGCTTTACAGGATATAATGCAACAGCTCTATGAAAACCTGCTCATTTGTCATTTCCGTAGCTACTGTGCTGTGTCATGGTTAAAGGAGAGGCTTCAGGTCAATAGGCTCAAATCCCACAGTACTAGATATTACTACAAAACTACACAGTTGATGTACAGTAAGGTCATTATTTATTATATACAAAAGGTTGCACTAAAAATACAAATAATCTCATTAAAATGTGCTGATGTACAGACATTGGGTAAGAGCCAGGTTCAAAATGCTTGTTTTACTTTGACATATTAGAGTGAGAAGTTTATATAAGGAGGGAATGTGGAGATGTCACTTTTTTTTGTTATATCTTTTGATGCATGCTTCTTAGGTAACATTAAGCTGTCTTTGGCTCTTTTCTGCTGTAACAATTCACATTTCCCCTCCGTGGGACTAATAAAGGTATTCTGATATCTCTTTGTATCATACAAAGAAATACTGCAAACAGCCAAGTAAATCTTTTTTAAGAATACATTTGATACAAATGAACAAAGCACTTGGAGACAATGGGCTTTAAAAATATGTATTGCTAAAATCCATACATTTTTCAGGACACGACTTGTGAACAGATGAAGTTAAATAAAATAATAATCACAGCATGAAACTTTTGGGGGGAGGAACTCTGCATATGTAAATAGACAAAGTAAGCACAAAGAAAGACATAAGAGCGTTGTGCAGCTTACCTCTCCTGAGGTTCCCGGGCTGCTGCTGGTCGTCCGCTCTCCGGTGCCCTCGTCCTTCAGAGCTCGCAGGAACTCGCTCTTACGGTCCGGACCGCGGCGCATCAGCTTCAGCCTTGACGGGGCGATGTCTATGGGAGGAGTCGTGCTGGAAGGGTGCTGCAGGGGCCGGGAACAAAAGAAAAGAGAGTTAATTCAAACCTATTTTGGGACACTAAATTATCATCTACGAAATCCACTTGGCCAGAACAGAAATGTTGGATGTGTTTTACAGTCAATAACCATAGAGAGCGACATGTTCCTGCACTGTGTGAGAGCCAGACACAGACGGACACAAGGACTTTCACACCATCGCAACGGCTCCCTCAACAAAAAGCAAAGGGATTTTACGATTGGATTTTGGAACATTCCACACGTTGTCATTTACACGTTTTGTTCGGCAGGATAATTTCCATATATGTGACCTGCTCTATCGAAATCAGTCGCATTGACCCGAAGACACATTTTGAGTTGTATACACTGTTGGAAAGAGGATATTCCTAGCTTTCTAATGATATCAGGATTGTTTTTGTACTTCAAATATTAAGCGAAATATGTCACATTATATAATGACTGTCACCGAGTCATCATTTTGAGAAAAAGGCCTTCAAAGTTTCCTCTTCTCTGGAATCCATCGATCTGATTGGTTATTAGCAAATGATCAAAATACTCCGGAGGGAAGATATTTTCGTTTGGATTACTGGTCTGGGGGAAGCTCGCGAGTGTGTGTGTGTGTGTATACGTGTGTGTGTGTATACGTGTGTGTGTGTGTTTGTGTAATTTTGCGTTTGTGTGTATTGTGTTTGTTTCCCGGGGAAAACCCTCACGAGAAACACCGGCTGTTGTTATGCCTGCTGTGACGTCAAGTTACTCCGTTCTCCGCTTGTAATTATGCCGAAACTTCAAAGTTGTATTTATCATCTGAATTTGCTGAAAGAAGTTTAATATTCTGAAAGCCAAGACTTTGTTTAATTAAATCAGATGAAAACAAACTGTAACGGACCCTGCGGTGTTATCCATGATTACTATACTCTTACATTCATAATGTCAGCCGGAGGGAGGGGGGGCAGCGCTGCGGAAGAGCAGATTACCTGTGATCGTCCCTTTACAAGTTTAAAGAATGTATTTATCGTGTGAGTTTGGAAATAAAAGTTTCATATTCTGAAAGCCAAGACTTTGTTTATTTAAAATCAAACAAAACACCCGAACTTCTGATTTCGATAGAGCGGGTCACATATTAACACCACTTTTGTAATTGTTAAAGTGTAAATGCTATTGTAATAAAGCTGATGTTAGGCTGTAAACAAACAACATCACGGTCGCATGGCTGCGCATCACATTGATTATTTAGTCACTTGATAGCAACCACTGGTTTTATTACATTACACGCCACTTGTTAGACGCTTTTATCCAAAGTGACTTACATACTCAGTACTGTGGGCAATCCCCACAGGAGCACTTTGGGGTGAAGTGTCTCAGGGACACAACGACATGCTGACTGCAGTGGGGTTTGAACCTGTGCTCCCCTGATCCCAACACCGAGGCTCTATCCACTGCGCCACACGCCACCCATGAAACACAGTAGGGACACAATTCTGACATTTACGAGTGGGGGTACTGACATATTTAAAATCGTAGAACCCAACGTGAAAATGTCTTTAGTTTGTGTTGACAACAGATCTTCGTCCAGGCGTCTGACCAATAACGCTACAGGAAGATGTTGACTTCAACCAGAGAGAGAAGTGACTAAATGCTAACTAAGTTCTGCACTCATACGGCACCACTATATAAACACAGTTTGAAAAGACAAGAAAAATGCCTTGAAAATCCCCCCCTCGCACTCTCTGGCCTAAAAGATATTTGTTTGTCTTTTCCCTCCTCACCTCTTTCGTGGGGTTGTGCTGTGGTGCGCTGAGGGGGGGGCTGGGTTTGGCTGCAGAGACGGGGCTGGTGAACACCGAGTCTCGGCCCGGCATGTGGAGGCCGGACTTAGTGATCTCTCTACCACCGGACTTCCACTGGTTGCTCTGGAAAAGAGGACAAAGAGTCAAAAGAGATAAAAGCACACTTTGCACACTATCATTTTTATATTTCTTAGTGGAAGGCTAATATAAAATGTATTATCACTTATGTTATGTATATTGTAAAGACACTGTTCAGATAGATACAGTATCTCTCTACCTGTTGATATTAATATACAGAATGTAACTATATTTTGACCTCGTTTGTAATAAGTTAACATGCTGCTGTAAAAAAAAGAAGCATATTCCAATTTGGGATCAATTAAGAATCTTATGTCATCTAAAATATTCGTACTTTAGTGGGGGCCACAGCAGGCTTGGGGACCAGGTTCTTGTAAATGCTGGAGCTGGCCATGGGGGTTTTGCTGCCGTTGATGGGCAGGATGCCGGCGGAGGTGAACCCCGCAGAGAAGGCGGTGCCGGGGTCCTCCTTGGAAAGCTTCTTGATAACCAGCATTTTGGACACCATCTGTTTGCCACTCGGGGGGTTTTCTGGAACACAAATTGGTGATCAAATGTTACCCAGCTGCAGTGGAACACTAAGGTTAGCCTTTTCAACCATCTCTTTTTTTATTTAAAAGTGCTCTATTATGCTTTTTGGAGTTTCCACTTTACTGTAGTGTGTTATATAGGTTTGTGTGCATGTAAATGGTCTGCAAAGGCTAAAACACACACAAATCTGAAAATGAGCATAATAGGGCCCCTTTAAGAGAATCGACGCAGTCTTACCCCACACTCCAGCATGGGGAGCCACCGCTCGCATCGGAGTCCCAGGCTTTCCAGTTGTTTCAGGGTTGAGGGAAGGCTTAAAAGACAAAACACCCGCATTAAATAAGGAAGCTATTAAACACAGAACTGATTCTCAGTGTGCCTGGACTAAGTCTAGATATGGATATTGATTAATCCTTTGGGAATATTGGATATCGAAAGTGTGTCTTTTCTGTTGTTGCTCAAGGCTGCATCACAGTAAAGTAAAATCATTTTCTTAACGTAACAGACTTTTCAATCTATTATTTGCTTTTACCCATTTATTTCTGTAAATCCACATTACTGACGATTTTGTGAAAGCATCACAAGTCAACACTACAACTGTTTTGTTGTATAGATAGGTTGCACCTGCTTTCTTTTAATAAAGTAAAGCATTTGACAGAAAGTGGAAAATAAATGCTATTCCTTTACACTAGGAGTTTATTTGTGCAGTAACCTTTTTGAGATTAGTTGACGTGAGAGAAAGTCCTGAAAATGTAAGTCATTTAAATTCTATAAACATTTAAAATGTGTTGATATGTGTTTATTGACTTTCTGTACCAACACTATGAGCAGGTTAAGAACATTACATTTGATGTGGGACTAGGCCTTTTTTTCTTTTTCTTGTGGTATTGAAAGAGTTACAGAGCCTTGTTTTCTTTTAAAAACAGTTTTAAAAAAGTTTAAAATTCTGGTATAGCGACAATTAGGGATGCTCCGATCGATCGGCCGCCGATCGATATCGGCCGATATTCACTCTCTGCCGATCGATCGGAGCTCTCTAAAAATGCCAATCACATGACGTAAAATTATGAAGTAAAATACATGACACTTTTCTCTGTGCGCGGCAAAACAAGCTCTCCAAAATGGCTTCACCGGTCTGGCAGTATTTTAAGGTGCCCGAAAATGACGGTAAAATAGCGGTATGCAACGTGTGTAGCAGAAATCCTGCAGCTCCGCCCGCTGTGACGGGCCGGTGAGCGGAGCAACACACTAAGAGACCTAACACACTTGGCTATTTTATCTACCTCTGGAACAAGCTAAACTAGTTATAAATATGTTTATTCTTCACTGTCGGGTCACTCATTACTGGATCAGTGAGCTGCATGAGATCCTGGAGAGAGAGGGAGAGAGAGGAAAAGAGAGCGCTTCCGCTCATTTCTCCCGTGTTATTATCCAAAGTTAATGTAAACTTGAATAATGTACTTCATTTGAATGTAATAATTATGTTGGTTGTTGTTTGTGGAAGCGCCAGTGAATGAGCATTAACTGAGTTTTAAACATCACTTTAAATGGAAGATCCCCATAGGCCCCGCCCACTCGATCGGATCGGCCGATACTGATTCCTGCGATCGGCCCCAAAATTGGCGATCGGAGCATCTCTAGCGACAACCTTAGCAATGTTAGTTTTCAATAATCTAAGCATGTTGTTGCTAACCGGATTAAGCCTCATGGGTCGAGAAGAGGAAACTGTTGTGATACAAAATAGTGTTGAAATGTACGTTTTCACAAGGTAAATATGGGGAGAAAATGGAAAGTGAAAATGTTTCTGACATAAGTTTTTACTACCCAGTGTCAACAACAAACACCCTGAGAGTACAACTATATTAATGGAACCCTCTTTTTATTAAATGTCAAGTAGCTTTGCCACTGAGTATTTGATATTTCAACAGAGCTTGGTCATGTAAGAGCTACGTTTAGGTCAGTGAACGCAGTGATCCACTCACAAAGTCCTCTTCCACGAACTTCAGCTTGTCGTCCTTGCCGTCTTTGCGTTCCTCGTTGGGGAACTTGTCCTGGTACGAGGGGCCCTTGCGGGGATGAAAGTTGCCGTTGCGCTGCCGGTGCGCCCCCTGCCTGTCCCTGTCCACTCCTACCCGTTTGGGGTGGCGCCCCTGGTGGTGGTGGCCGTCCTGGGCTCCCCGCGGCGCTCCGTGCCAGTTGGGTGTTTCTTTCCAACAGGAGCCCCCCGCCAGCCCGCCATGCCCCCCTTTGGCCACCCCCGAGTCCACCGAGTCATGCCTCAGAAGCAGAGAAGGCTGCTGCCACCCGTCACCTTCAGAGAGAACAAATATACGTAAGAATGATGCCAATACGGGGCAAACAAACATCACAATAAACTTTTTACAAAACACACCAGCAGTTAGAGTCTTAAGTTCATTCATAGTGAGCCAACCATTCATTTAGCCTGTACAGAGAGGATGCTGGGTAACCCTGAAGTGACGAAGTAGGGCTGTGCGATTATGGCAAAAATCATAATCACGATTATTTCTGGTCAATATTGATATCACGATTATTCAACACAATTATTCATTGACTTTGAAAACATCCATTTATTGAACTTTAAAACAAGTTAAAATAATAATTTGAACAGTATGTTTTTAACAGTTGATTACCCTGAACTTTAAGTATAATTCAACTGAAAAAACAATAAAAAAAGAAAATTATACATTTATATCTACATTTAAATAAATAATATCAAAATAATAAATACCAATAAAGAAGATAAACAAATATTTTGGAGCACACTTCCACAACCTACTAAACATATATAAATATGATAACTAATGTCACTCACAACCTGTAATGTTTAATTATACTGCTACACGCAGTACTCTTATTTTGGTAACCCCGGAGCATGGAGGACCGGAGAATAGAGAAACGGTAACTAAAGCTTCCCTTGTAACGTGTTTATATGGATTTATTAAACAGAGCTGCAAGTCACAACACAACCTGGCCGAGAGGGCTTTTAGGGAGGGGTGAAAGCGTGCGCTTTCACCCGCAGGATGTATAACGCAAGACAAATTGAGAGCATCATTGGGAAAGGGAATGCAGCAAAATATTAGTTTTTTTTCGATTACGTTGTTTTCATAATCGTTGCAAGCCAAAATAAAATAATCGAGATTAAAATACGATTAATTGCACAGCCCTACGAGGGAGGAGAGCTGGGACCAGATTTATGGAGAAAATGAGATATAAGCATATAGTAAGACCACTGGCTAATAATAATGGACAAGCTAACGTAGTCAGCCAGGAGTGAGACAGATTAACTGGAGTGTAGTTTAATGTGCTTTACGGAAACATGGATATATCTGACAGCATCCTTTCCATTGATGGCTTCAGGACTGTTTCATGGATCGCACCAAGAACTTCACCATGTCTTCATCGTGTGCCCCTGCCTTGTTCCTGTGCCTCAGATGTTGCATTTAAAGATGCATTTTTGTTTCAATATATGTTTATATAAATATGAAACATTTGTATTGTAATATGGTGCAACAAAACCTTATTTCCCCATGAGATTATTAAAGTATTTGGATAGATTGAATAAACCACCAAACGAGACATTTTCATTTTTTTCGCCTGAGTGGCACTGTACACCAAAATCAAGGTGAGACACATTATCTGCCCTTCTGTTTCAAAAGCTGAGGGGAAGCCAAATGTGAAAGCAAAGATAAAAGGCGAGTGGGGGACAATGGTGAAACAGACACCACATGGGACAACTGGAGAACCTGTCAAACAGGAAACATAAACTTGTGTTTATTTTTGCTTTTGCATCTCCGTGGGACAACTGACCATCACCGCTAAGCTAAATGCCCGATACGCCATAGCCCCGCCTCTCCCACCTCTCCTGCTCACCCCCGTCATTGCTGATGTGTTTCGCCAACAACAACAGTGTTCCGAGTGTTTCGAGCCAGGTCCCGGTATCTCGCAGGACAGTGCACCCAGCAGGAGCCTCCAGCAGACCCCCCCGCACTGCAGAGTTTCCGTTAGCCGGTAATTTCCGGACTATGACCGGTAGAACCGGCAAATCTAAATCTCTCCGGTCAAAATGCTTATTGTTTAGGTGTCCTTTGACACGCAGGCAGTCATATCATTAGTTAGAACTAGCTAGATTTGATCGATATGGACATAAACGCGAGTGAAGTCTAATCGTACAGGAGAGAGATATCAGCTGCTGCTGATGGAGACACGCAGCTCTGCATGATCACCTGCAGCTCCGCCCGCTGTGATGGAGCGGTGAGCGGAGCAAAACACACACTTCCAAGTTAGATCATCACCCTTAGCTATTTTAATGACCTTTTACTACCTAAACTAGTTATAAATATGTTTATTTTTACTGTCGGGTCACTCATTACTGGATCAGCCAGCTGCTTGAGACGGATACTGACGGGCTGTCAGGAGAGGGGGAGGAAAAGAGAGACTCCGTGTATTATTCTTATACTATTATATAGAGTTGTTATTCATTTGTTTTAAAGCTCAATAAATAACAAAGAAGACCTCTGACCGGCACTTTTCTAATTTTGTCCGGAAGATTTAAATTGGAACGGACATGCTGACAGGCGGTAAAAAAATTCTACCGGAAACTCTGCTGCGCGGTTCCCTTGGAAGAGGCGGAGAGGTGGGTGTTTTCCATCTGCTGGTGGACTACCGGGGAGATTGAACGCTTGGGTAGGGTTGGGAATTTGAAAGCAAATGTATATTCGAATATTCGACCCCCATTTGGGCATAAGATGAGGTTTGAGTCTGCGTGATCTGCGTGTAGGGAGGGGCAGCAGCCATATCATTGGCTAGAACTAGCTAGATCTGATGGATTTGGACATGAACGCGAGTGAAGTATAACCGGACGCGAGAGAGAGAGATCAGCACCTGCAGCTCTGCCCGCTGTGAGGGGCCGGTGAGCGGAGCAAAACACAGCTTTAGACGTCATCTATTTAGCTATGGCACTGTTGTATACATTGAATTATTCAATTTGATATGTAATCAACTTAGGCATCCCTCCCCAAAAAATAAAAAATAAAAAAAAATAATAATTAATAACTCATATTCGAATACCTGAATAATTTCGAATATTCGATTGATCGTTCCCATCCCTACTCGGGAGCCAGGCTCAGAGTTAGTGGCAGTGGGTGCGGTGCACCTGCCTTTTACAGCAGGAGCACACACTCGCCTCGGGGAGGGAGAAAAAGAGAAACAGAGGCCACCGAAACAGCCAGAGCCCTCCCTCAAACCCACCTCTCACCCCCGCGTCAAATCTACAGCTCCTCTACCACAACCATCAGCAACAAGTGGACATGGAGAACTACATGTTACTAAATCCACCGCGGAGAATAAACAGAAGGGCAACCAGGCAACCATGCTCGGGGTCTTCTTCGCTGCTTTTGGTGTATTTTGTGGCGGAAGTACAGCGCCACTTACAGGCCCGGCATATGTACTACAGCGTCTCTAGCGGGTCGAGGGGTCTCGTGTGAAAGGACACGTTTATTGAGCCGATTGCGTGTGGACGGAAGACTTTTTTGATATCGAATTCTGATCGTTTTTGTTTCTGTGTAAACGGAGCCTTAGAACCTTCCTACATTCACCAGTGGGGTATTTACATCACAAAACATGAGAATTGTTTAAGCCAGTGTTAACCACAGCCCTTAATTCAGGCCACTAAACAAAAACTAATTCAAAAACACATTGACTTTGAGACAAGGGGAATCAGAACTGGTACATTTCTAACTCATTAAAACACCACCATCATGTCCTACAGGGAGATCAATATGTCCTCTTTAAGTGGAGTTAGCAGCTCTCCATCGTCTTCAACTCCACACAGTTTAAAGTTCAGCAGAATTATTTTACTAGAACTAACTAATGACATTTTGGTAACATAACTAGCATTATGTCTGTCCTGAAAGCTCCAAAAAAAGTTTTTAACTTTAGTGTCTGTCTTTATAATCAGCAACCGAAGAAGCTGGTTCTGGTGGTTCTGTTTTAAGTCATATGTAACATCTTTGATTCGCAGTATGTTTTTATTTTACAATAATAACACCTGGTTGGAAATGTCTTGCAACGTTATCAGAGTTTCGACAGATCCACCTCTGAGATGCAATTCATCTTAGCCTCATGTATTATGATACTTAATTTAGTAGACATTGTTTATTGATTAAGTATTCAGTATGCGGTCTGTTAGCTTGCTCACAAGTTTAGAACGTTCATTAATTACAGGACATGGTCAGCAGCAGACTTTAAAAGAGAGTGGTGCAGGATTGAGTCCTAAAACCTGGAATTGACTTAGCGTTGTACTACCTTTTTTACCCTCTTCTTGAAGTTACAGTTTATTTGTTCATATTATTGGTTAGACTCCTGAACGAAGGTCTGTGGTTCACACAAGTTTAAGAGATTATAACCTGTCGTTCCACGGCATAGAATATGTCAGTAAATAGCCCACTGGTGATTGTCTGAAGCTTCAACGTGTCATAACGGAGCGTCCACACAGCGGCGTGCGTTGACGCTTGGAGGTGGGCGTATCTGAAGCTTGGGGATTTTTTGCGAGCAACGCGACCAACAACCAATCCCATGAATCGCCCGCCCCCGACATACAAAGCAATAGCAATGTTAAAACGAAGTAAACTGGATATAAAATCCCCAAACAGGCGAAAACCTACCAGATTCATCCACTGTCTCTGCCTCCTCCCTCCATGCCTCGCTCCTCCGGTTTGTATCCCGGTAGATGAACAGAGACTGATCATACAGCACCGGGTGATTCACTACCGCTACAATGAATTTTCCCTCCATTTTTTTGAATATGAGGAAATGACCTGCGTAGTCTCTCCCAGCATACACGCGGTTTGATTGGCTAGCGCTTGTACTGGCAGATTTGCATAAACGGGATTTCATTGGCTGACGCCTCCGTCGAGGCGTCAAAAGTTGAACATTGCTCAACTTTTGACGCCAGCAACGCCAGCAACGCTCCACGTCGCTTCCCAAAATGCAGTTCGGCTAAAAGTGACGTCACCCCATTCAAAGTGAATGGGCAGAAGCGTTGGAAGCTTCAACGCACGCCGCTGTGTGGACGGGCCGTAATAACTGCAGCTCCTAACAAGTGGCTAAATGAGACTACTTAAAAAAGTAATCACTCCGACATGAGTCCCCTTTTAGCTAAGCTGTGGTGATGAACAGACATGCAACTTTCATTTAGCTTGTTAAAGCCTAACATTAGCTTTTTATTTCTGGTAATAGAATTTACGCTTCAGAAATCACAAAGTGGTGTCAATATGTGAAGATTATCCTGCTGAACAAAACGTGTTGAGTGTCAGGAGCGTGAGCGCCACAGAGCTTTCTTTCTGTAATATACCAGAATCCAATGGAAAAGTCTCCTTGCTTTTTGTCGAAGGAGCCCCGACGATGCTAACTTCCTGGTCTACAAAAAAACATCACTGCACCAGTCTATAGGTTACCCATAACAAGACTTCCAAGAACGCCTATGATTGCTTTTATCCAGCACCTCACTGTAAGAAGATTCACTACACTCACAGTTTCATTCATATTTTCACCGTCTCTGCCATGTGCTGACAGTAACATCGTTAACAACAAGAGCGGAGGTAAACTGTTGTGAAGGTTACCTGCTGGAGCGCGCAGGGAGCCGTTGTTGAAGAAGCCATCGGAGGAGTTGTGGCGGCGGCGGCTCACAGAGGTTCTGCCGTCTCTGTGGTGGTGGGGCTCGCCTTGTTTCTCAAGGTTGGCAGCAGGGGACTGGAGGAGGACAGACAAGGGGACGGGTCAGTCAAAGGGAGATGCTGGACAATGAATTATGTGTCAATGTAAACTGAGGACAAAAAATTGCCAAAATAGATAAAGCAGCTACCCCTAGCCCATTTTCCATGACATCATTTTTTTAAATCTTTGTGATCTTGTGAAGAAACTTATAAATCATCCCCATAGTTTGTCTTACTCCCTCAGACAACTTCAATAACTCAAAGTGAAACCAATGCAGGGATCTATTCTTAGAGATCCCAAAAGCAGACATCATAGGAACTGAGAAGAATCTGGGAATGCTTTATCTGGAGGATTGTGGCAGAGATCAGAAAGCCTCTGCGTTTCATAAAATCGACTCCATCTGAATCATATCCTCGCCATGAGCTGAGGTTCAAAGATACGACTTCTCTTCAGCCTATGCCTGCAAGAGTCACCTCAGGGAAATAACCCCCCCCGCAGATTTACAGCGTTATGATGTGCAATCAAACCATGAGAATAAACTGCGGCTCCGACCCTGACAGGTGAGTGCAGACTAATCCCTGAAGACAGATGACATTGAGGTGAAGTCATGTGTCAATGACTGTGCACTTGTTTCACTGTCTTGACTCTTGATTTCACAGACAGGCCACTAAGCTGGGCTTCTTCCTGACTCACAGAATACACTGAGCTCTGCACAGGAGAAACACATTTAAGGTCTTAAAAAAGGACAATCAGAGCATTCAACACTTTCATTTAAAAATACCCTATTTTTGGGGGGGGGGGGGGTTAACCCTTTCCTTTAGAGTTTTGTATGTAAATGGTCTACAAAAGGCCAAAATCCCTGTATTCCCTCCAGAGGGAATTTCTCTCCCACCCCTCCCTCCCTCCATCTGCCTGAAATGCCATTGGACTCCTTTGTTTACTTCTGTAACATAGTGACATCACTATGTAACACTCCCATTTCTATTTGCTAGCACTCCAACACAATGTATGCGATAGGCGCATAGGCGATGGACTAAGCAGTTCACCAATCAAAACAAAGTCGGCCAGCTAACCAATCAGAACAGACTGGGCTCTGGTTTCAGACAGAGGGTGAAAAGAGGTGCTGCAGCACGGGCAGTATGAGAAAAATAAAGACCTTTTTGAACATTAAAGGTCACATGTCATGCTTTTCCGGTTATCACCCGTCCCCTTGTGTGTTATGAAGGTGTTTCTGCATGTAAACGGTCTGCAGAGTCACAAACCCTCAAAGTACACCCTGTAGCGAGTAAAACTCTAACACAGAAAATACTTGTCTGCTGCCCCAGAACGCCTCGTTGGACATTTCTCTTTTTCCATTTTTTTCCTTCCTGGTCACAGTGACGTAACAACGACCCAAATGGACCCATTTGTCCAAATGGACAAATCCACGGACTTGCTCACACACACTCAATCTTTTCTCAGCTGCAGCTCCGCGGATTTCTCAGCCTGAGACGGCAGGGCACGGGTGTGTGCTCGGGCTGGTTTCGGGCTGGGTTTTGCTGTGTCTCGCCGACCCCACGCAGCAACTAGGAAACCACACCAGTAAGCCAGCTCACACTGTCTGCTCCTCGCAGCAGCGAGCCCCCCAACGTCCTGCCAACACGGCACCCAGACCCCACGCAGCATTCTCATCTGTTTGTCATTACTGTTGTCATTTTCTGGTTGCTAACAAACGCCATTGTAACACATAATCACTGATGTTCCGCTGTAACGGTGGTAGACTCATCAGAACAGAGTGGGCGAGCTGACCAATCAGAGCACAGTGGGCTCACAGGGAGGGGGGGGGGGGGCAGGAGCTCCAACAAGCCGTGTAGGACAGAGAGTGAATACACATACTATACAGAGATGCTGTATGAGAAACCAATGTGAGTTTGGAACATTGAACAATGTAAATCTATTCTAGTAGACCTCAACAATGGAACTATGATCAGTAGAAATAGCCATGACATGGGAGCTTTAAAGCATGGACACATGTCAAAGTAGAGGCACAAAATACAAATATGAACCTGAACATTTGCATAATAGGGCCCCTTTAAATATGAAAGTTTAATTTTTCCTTTTGTCTGCACAGTTCCTTTGCTTTTGTAATGCTTAGAATTTCCCTGCCGAGTGAAAACAAAATATTTCTGGCTCTGATGTTATTAAAATAGTTTATTTTCCTTCCTACTTTAAAATGAAAGCACACAATATCTCAGTGACCCTCAGCTGAACCGTGTGCTGGCTGACATGTTGCCAACAGCACACACTTTCACTCAGGTACACATTTAGAGCAGTGACAATTATATCGTCAAGCTCTGTCTATCTCAATTACCATGTGCTTCTGTATTCAACCGGCAAATACAAACAGTATAAACACACACACACACCTTGGCAGGCTGGGGCGTGGAGAAGTTAAGCCAGGCAGGGACAAAGTCATGCTGCGCCATTTAGGTCCAGTGTTTCCGGTCAGTGGATCGAGGCATCAAACCTCATGGCCAGGATCTGATACAAAAAGGGAATAGACAGTAGGAATGACATCTTTAGGAATTCAGTTCCATGACATTTCTTTCAAGGAGTTTTGTCTACCGATAGATATTTAGACATTCACTGCATAAAGGGTCTCTCAAGTGCCAGAAAGAGTTCTATTCTTAGCAGAAAACAACAAAGCTCGACTTGATGCAGCTGTGAAGGAGGTTGACAGCTTGGATGGTAGATATCTTGTGCACCATAATACAAGTGTGTCATAAATGTATTTAGCTCATTTAGAATAGCTGTGGTGATAAGCAGCTATGTGACCACTTTAGTTTATAGCCTAGCATTTGCTTTTTACTTCTGCCCAATGCATTTCAACTTCAAATTGTAAAATCGGTGGAGATTATTCTGTTGTATAAAATGTGTAAGTAGCATGTTTGCCACAGATCATTCAATTGTGGTTAATTGTGCTGCCCTCCTTTAACACATTATGCATACTTTGTAGAAAATGAACACCTGCTAGTGACACAATGTTGACAAATGGCCAAGTCACAGCAATTCATGTATCGCTATAGAGTACCCGGTGCATGTTTTGCAGCGTGAAATCAGACTGCATCATTACCCCAGAGTCTGGCTCTGAAGTCCTCTGCCTCCTCTCTCGGTCCGGCTTGGCTCGGTTCCTCAGGCCCGTTGGCGCTGATCACAGAGTGTGTGCACTGACGGACGGGGAGCGGCACACCGACGACCCCCTCTCCACCTCCCACAGGAAAGCACAGCCCCTTTCCCCAGAGGCAGATCCCTTCTTCCAGGGTGAAACACTGGGAGATGGGTCAAAAGGTTGCAGGAATGATCTGGAATGGCGATCCAGAGAACTGGCCAAGCAGGAAGTCAGATTGTTAAGCAGAAGCGATTCTCCTTCTTGAACCAGATTCCCCTAACAGCTCCTATGCGGGTCACGTCTCCGATGAATTTCCGAGTGCTACCGTTTCCAGTTCAGGTATTTCTTTCCCAGGCAGATTGAATTCTTCACAAACTCATTTGAGCCACTGTTTCTTATTGTCAGGAGTAACCCTGATAGGACTTTATGCTGAATGGCAAAAATGAAACAAATTCTTATGGGAAGCAGTCTGTGAAAGTTGTCTGCCCTGGAACATGGACAGCAGTTTGTGTAGCAGTTCCACTTTGACACCAGACGAGGGGAGACAGACAGCTGCCACACTGCGTGCCAGTATGTTTTGTCCTCGACTCGCCTTTTACCGAATCATTTTAAGATCTACCGAAACGCACGCAGAAAAGAAAAAAGGAGTTCAGAGACAGTCTTTTACTGGCGATAGAGGTCACTGAAAACCATTGCTCACCTCATTAAACGGCTGAAAAAGACTGTCTGAGTTTGAAGAAAATAATGCTCAAAAGGGTTCAAAGTCACATGACAATGAAGGAAGTAAAACCCTATGTTACATCGCCGTCATGGTCAGTGTTGGTTAGTGAAATATAGATGCTGCAGGATGATTCATTATAATGCCGTTTTTATCTGTATACGTTTTAATTTCACATTTGTAAGATCCCCATTTAATTATCTGCCGTTTTCTGATTGAAGCAGATATAGGGTTTAGCTCTGATTTCATAGGTATGCAAGCTCAAAAGCGAAACAGCAAATCTTCCAAAGAAAAGGGTTCTGCGTGTCATACGATGCTCAAAAGTCCTTCATTGACAAATAGAAATAGTCAGAACAGAAATCCACGACAGCCTATTCAACGTCCTCTTCTGAGTTGAAAAATAGAATACGTCCAAAATGTGTCATGAGGGTATTTCCCTTCCTTTCTTCAATGATGTTTTCTCCCACACGTGAAGTTTCTGCGATGCAGTTTTCTGTTGTTCTTGCTCAGGGTTTACGGTATCAGCACAGGAACACACTGGACCTGAATAAAAGAAAAACAGACTTCATTCAGAAAAGCAGGTTCAACAAATATAAACGTATTAACACTAAGGTGTTAGTTTCTTTAGTACACATAGCTTCTCAAATTCACCAGTCCGGCAACAAAAATAATCCTTCCTTTACGAAAATTAAATCTCCAGTTTTGTTCAAACTTTTTTTTGTATTAATACAAATACTGCAAATATTTCTCTATATTTTAATGTTATAACAATTTCTTTTTATAAATATAGTTTTTTATAATGGTTTAGTTTGTTAGTTTTAACTATTTATCTTCATTAAATATGTTTATGTAAGCGTCATATACACTAAGACAAATTCCTCATATGTGTAAACCTACTTGGCACTAAACCTGATTTAGAAGAGTCTTGATTCGGCTATAAGATTTCTTTGAAGGCTTGCATTACTGAGTTTATCATGTTTAGGTCACCCTTTTTGACATAAAACAAAAAAAAACATGATCAACACCTAAGAAAACACCACCACAATGCAACAGCTAGCAAAATAGCCATCTAATGAAACCTCTCTGTAACATGTTTAAGGCAGGGCTGTTATAATAAACTTGCTTCACATAATACGGTATTTGGCTTAAAGCAATATCTTCTTTGACTGAAAACAGCTATGTGGGATGTGAGTAAAATGCTCCTTTTTTTAAACCCAAAATAGCTTCCAGTTCAAGAGATGCCTTCAAAGCTCACTTGAAATACATTTTTGAGTGGTATAAGAAAAAAAATCATGACTCAGTGATCTCATGCTGAAAGCTGGCTCTTTTAAAAAAAAAAATGTGTCAGCTTTGGTAAATGAAATATTTATAACAGTGTAAAAATAACTCAAAACACTTTCTTCCTCGGTACTTGTCCCAGACTGCTGCGCATCTAAACCGTGCACAGTGCAATGCTGGAGGAAAGGTCTAAAACCTCAACAGCGATTGTTCACCCCTACACCTTGACCAACCATGCAATAAAATACAGTTCACACCAAATCCATCCCTGTATGCCAGCACACACTCAGAGACACCGTTAACGTATTCCCACTGAACTATTACGTAACAGCTAAACATCAACGAGTTTGCCACGGACACGGGCTTCAAAGAGCAACACAAACATCTAACGTTACTTCACTGTGAACAACACTCACGTAAATGACGGCAACACAATGCACGGATTTTAACATTATTATTCACTGTGAAACCCCCACATGTCCACAAACACTGCAGCATGCAACACACAGTAACGTTACATGCACGCTTCACCCAGCTAACGAACGCTAGCCGAGCAATGTTATGTATTAAAGTGCATTGAAATACGGTAAGAAGCAATGCAGCCGTGGTGTGAGCTTAATAACCAAAGTCAATCGCCAACTAACAACGTTATCAGATCTATGTCAGCTCTGCTGTTAGCTAACTCCGCTTAGTTAACTCAGGTTAACGTTAGCGTAGCACTTGTTAGCTCATAGCTGGCGTTAGTCAGCCTGTTAAGTGACGTTAGCCACTGATAACTGTGAGGTAGTTGACTTTACTTAAGACAGTTAGAGGGCTAAGCAAAGCACAAACGTATCCAGTATGCTAACTGCAACTAAAACTGTCTATTTAGGCAGCTGTCACGTACATATAATAGAGGTAAACAGACCTGGCTTCGTTGGAACAACACAGTTTCAAAATGGCTTCCTTAGCAGCGGCAGCACACATTCATCAGCCTGCTAAGTGCTACCGAGCTAACTTGCAGTATTTCGTGACGTGTACCTTCTCCGAAGCAACATAGTCTCCAATACAGAATGTTCAAGGATATCAATAGTCTGAATACATTAACGAGATTGCACTTTTTTACAACTATGCACTTCTTTACTGATACGCTATTGACGTTTGTTTGGGTTTTCTTACCACTCGCTGCCACTGAGGGATTCGAACAGCCTCAATGATGCTACGTTCAAGATCTGCTGTGATTATGCAACCTAAAGAAGTCCCTTAGTATTTTTAAAGTCGAACAGGCTCAATAGTCTCTGAAAATACGTTTCTTTTGAAATAACATACATGGCTGAACCTGGAATTCTGCAGTGATATACAATATATATATATATTTAAAGTACTCCAAGGACACTATGTCGGTAGCACGTAAAGTGGGATATTGCTATCCTGAATATAACTTAATACCTCCCCCGCCACTGACAGCCAAACCAGTCGATAACAGAACAGTCTCATTCAGTTTGAGAATATAAGAAGACAGGCATTTAATCGAGCAAGGATACAATGGCAGCATGCAAACGACCTTTAAGCTTTAAGCTCGTCAACGTTAACTTTGTGACCACTAACTCTGTGTAATTGTGCGTGTAGTGGCCATTGGATGACAAAACAATTAAAGGGTAACGTATACGTCACTTCTGTGTTTTATTGATTGTTACAGTATGAAAGCTCTGTATTGCATCAGGGTGTATGCTAACTGTTAATAGCACAACGTTGGTATAGGGTGGTTATATCATACAATTCCATTGTGCATGTCTTATGGGGATTATGTCATTACTAATTAATAACGTTTATTTTACAGATTCAAAATGATTACTACATCTGGAAGACGTTTAATTTCTGGGGTAAGAAATCCACTCTTGACAATGCACATGCACTAATAAAAACATGTTTTTTATGCACTTTGATGCTTATCATGTTCTCAGGTTTCAGTATGGAGGTGTCTTCAGCAGATAACCAGAGCCCCACACTACACAACAACATCTCAGCTGTTTCCTTCTCAAGCCTCCTCAGTGTTGATGTCATCCAGACTCACTCCCACCAACAGTTTGTTGAGCATCAGCTGGCATGCCTCACGTCTGTGCCACGGTGATTCAAGAGCCACCTCAGGGAGAGTCGACAGGAAAGACGGCTTCAGTTTGAGGGCCCTCAGCCAGGCTCCTAAACCAGCCCTCTACATCGGTGTCTCTGGGCTTATCCCTTTCCTGTCTGCCCCTCTCCTGATGGCTGCCACACAGACCTTCTACCCGGAAGTGGCGTATGCTCAGATGGTCTACGGAGCCTCCATAGTGTCCTTCCTCGGAGGCGCCCGCTGGGGGTTTGCCATCCCAGCCGGTAGTCCTGCTAAGCCTGACTGGATGAACTTGGGCAACAGTGTGGTTCCTGCACTCCTGGCCTGGATGGCGCTGCTCTGCAGGGACAATATAGCAGAGGGAGCTCTGGTGGTTATTATGGGATTGGGCCTGTCTCTGCACTATGACCTGACCCTGCTGCCGGGCTACCCCTCCTGGTTTAAAGCCATGCGGACTATACTCACTCTGATCGCCACTTTCTCACTGGTGGCTACCCTGACAATTAAGAAATTCTGTCCTGAGAAGAAACTTAAAGAGAGTAAGAAATGACTCAAAAGGGACAGTGTGTACTTTTGAAACCACATGGACTCAATAAAACATTCAAATTATGCACAGCTGTGAAGACATGTGCATAATTATGTAACTAAGTAATAGTTTTTTCACTTTTAGGACGAATGTGAGTGAAATATCATTTAGAAAACAAATAAGTTACCAAGCGTAAAACAAGAAAGACTTTGAAAGAAAACATTTGTAGAATCACATTGTTTGTGAAAAGTTATTATTAGCCGAATAGCCGTGCGTACTCTGATCACTCGGGCTGCTTCTTTCTCACTGGTGGCTAGCCTGAAAATGAGGAAATGCTGCACTGAGAAAAAGCGTTCAGAACTGAATTTACAAGGACAGTTTTTACTCTGAGTCACATGTACTCAATAATAAGTCTGGTGTGATTTGTTCATACTGTACAATACATCATCCCTGAACAGTAACTCTGTAACATATTAAATAGTTATAATATCTTTTGGGACAAACGTGACATGTATAAAAGTGTTATATCTTACAAAGAAATGAATAAAAACAGTTGCAAAAGGGGCTCTAAAATATCCAAATGTTGAACAACAAATGTAACATTAATCAGAATCATATTCCTTGCTGTCAAAAGTACAAGGAGAATAACATACAGATACAAGCAGCCGAAATAGGTTTCCTCCGGAGGGGGGCTGGCATCTCCCTTAGGGATAAGGTGAGAGGATTCGGAGTCGAGCAGTTGCTCCTTTATGTAGAAAGAAGACAGTTGAGGTGGTTCGGGCACCTGGTAAGGATGCCACCTAACTGCTTTCCTAGGGAGGTGTTTCAGGCACATCCAGCTTGGAGGAGGGAATCAGAATACCTTTATTAGTCCCACAGAGGGGACATTTGCATCGTTACAGCAGGAAAGAGCCACAGAAAGCTTAATGTTACATATGTTAAAAAAAAGTACTAAGTTATGATATAATAAAAAATATAATAAAAAAAAAAAAAAAAAAATTCAAAATACAAATCCTGTAACAGTTCTTAGAATGTAGCAGCCAGGTATATATTACACAGTTATTAATGGCATATGTATATAATAATGTATATATTGCACATATAGCACATATTGCACATAGTTTGATGGTATTTAACTGCAGCAAGTTACACAATTTACAAAATGCAAAAAACACACCTTGTAACCGTTCTAAGGATTTAGCAGCCAGGTATAAATTACACAGTTATTAACGGCATATATATAATATATATATATATAATATATATATATATATATATATATATATATATATATATATATATTGCACATATAGCACATATTGCACATAGTTGATTGGTATTTAGCAGCAAGGGGTGATATAGTCTGTGTTGTGGTTTGTGTAGGGGAGGGGGGGTCTACTAGGGGCTGTGCTGGTTGTACAGTGTGACCGCTGCAGGAAGGAAGGACCTGCGGTATCTCTCCGTGAGACGGCAGGGGTGCAGCAGCCTGTCGCTGAAGGAGCTGCACAATGAGGACAGGGTGTCCTGGAGGGGGTGGGATATATTGTCCAGCAGGGAGGACAGCTTGGCTGCCATTTTCCTGTCTCCCACCACCTCCACAGTGTCCAGAGGACTCCTGTCTCCCACCACCTCCACAGTGTCCAGAGGACTCCTGTCTCCCACCACCTCCACAGTGTCCAGAGGACTCCCCAGGACAGAGCTGGCCTTCCTTACCAGTCTGTTCAGTCTCTTCCTGTCAACAGCCGAGATGCTGCTGCCCCAGCAGGCCACACCATAGAAAATGGCTGATACCACAACAGAGTCGTAAAAAGTCTGAAGGAGTGCCCCCTGCACTCCGAAAGACCTCAGTCTCCTCAGCAGAAAGAGTCTGCTCTGTCCCTTCTTGTACAGAGCAGCAGAATGGTCAGTCCAGTCCAGTTTATTGTTCAGATGAACACCCAGGTATTTGTAAGATTTCACAATCTCAATGTCCGCTCCCTGGATGTTCACTGGTGTCGGGGGGGAGTGTTGGCGCCGTCTGAAATTCACCACCAGCTCCTTGGTCTTCGCTGTGTTCAGCTGGAGGTGGTTCCTCTGGCACCAGAGGGTGAAGTCCTGCGTCAGCTCCCTGTACTCCTTGTCGTCCTCGTTGGTGATGAGGCCAACGATGGCGGAGTCGTCAGAGAACTTCTGCAGGTGACAGGTTGCAGTGTTGTGGGTGAAGTCTGCAGTGTAGAGGGTGAAGAGAAACGGTGCCAGCACCGTCCCCTGGGGGGCCCCCGTACTGCTGATGATGGTGTCTGATTGACACTCCCTGGTCCTCACGTACTGTGGGCGGTTGGTGAGGTAGTCCAGGATCCAGGAGGTGAGGTGTTGATCCACCCCCGAGAGCTGCAGCTTGTCCCCCAGGAGCGGGGCTGGATGGTGTTGAAGGCACTGGAGAAATCAAAGAACATGATCCTCACAGTGCCCCCCCCCCCCAGGCTTCTCCAGGTGGGAGAGGGACCTCTGCAGTAGATAGATGACGGCGTCATCCACCCCGATGGCAGGCTGGTAGGCGAACTGCAGCGGGTCCATTGATGGTCCCACAAGGGGCCGGAGGTGTCCAAGGACCAGCCTCTCCAGGGTCTTCAGGTTGAATAGAAGCTCCACAATCCCACACAGCTGATCCGCACAGGATTTGAGGGGCCTCGAGCTGATGCCATCTGGACCCGCCGCTTTCCTCGCCTTACACTTCTGCAGCTCCCTCCTCACCTGGTTGGTTGTGAGGGACAAGGTGTCGTCAGCGGGTGGAGGGGAACCAGGGGCTGATGTGAGAAGTGTCTGTGAGCTGATGGCCGGGGGCTGAGTAGAGGTGAGAGAGGTAACAGGGCCATTTCCAGGCAGTGGAGACAACGGGGGGTGCAGCAGAGGGGAATGGGTCAGGGGAGGGAGGCGCATAACTGATCAAATCTGTTGAAGAAGTTATTCAAGTCGTTTGCCCTGGCGGTCCCCCCGGACCTGGGAGTCTGGCTCTTTGTAGCCAGAGATGGTTTTCAGGCCTCTCCAGACTCCGCTGACGTTCCTCAACTGCAGCTGTTCCTCCATCCTCTTCCTGTAGCTGTTTTTCCCCTCTCTGATTTTCCACCTCAGCCTTTATTTCAGGGATAATCCAGGCTTTGTTGTTGGGAAAACACTGTACAGTCCTGGTGGGTATGACGTTTTCCTCACAGAAGTTCATATAATCTGTAATGCAGTCTGTAAGGCCGTTGATGTCCTCCTGTGAGAGTCAGTGAACACATCCCATGCAGTAGTGTCAAAACAGTCTTTCAGGGCCTCCTCAGACTCCTCAGACCACTTCTTCACGGTGCGTGTGGGCACCGGCTGTCTGTGGACCAGAGGTTGATACACAGGCTGGAGGTGAACCAGGTTGTGATCAGAATTGCCCAGGGGAGGAAGGGGGGGGGGGGGGGGGGTGAGCTGTATGCATCCTTGGTGTTGGCATACAGTAAGTCCAGTGTTTTATTGCCTCTGGTGGTGCAGATAACATATTGTTTGCCCGAGGTAAATAGTGGGGCCGAGATAAATCCCGAGGTAAATAGTGGGGCCTCATGCTAACAGCTAACAGCTTTATGTCCCTGTTGTAGATTCGTTCTTTAATAGTGGTGTGCCCTGGATTACACCATTGTTCACAAACAGGAGAGAGAAGGGGCATACCCAGGACCAGCTGGAGGAAATCACAGAGGTTGAGGTAAAAAATATTATATTAGGGTTAAGAGGTTCTAAGGCTATGCAGATGATTTAGACACCAACTTTATAAAAACATATC